AACAGTGAAGCATGGTGGTGGCAGCATCATGCTGTGGGGGTGTTTTTCAGCTGCAGGGACAGGACGACTGGTTGCAATCGAGGGAACGGCCAAGTACGCCAAGTACAGGGATATCCTGGACGAAAACCTTCTCCAGAGTGCTCAGGACCTCAGACTGTTTACCTTCCCAGTTTTTCTTTTTTAATAAATCTGCAAAAATGTCAACGATTCTGTGTTTTTCTGTCAATATGGGGTGCTGTGTGTACATTAATGAGGAAAAATAATTAACTTAAATGATTTTAGCAAATGGCTGCAATATAACAAAGAGTGAAAAATTGAAGGGGGTCTGAATACTTTCCGTACCCACTGTACATGACGCAAAATCAGTGATGTTATAGAGTTGCTGCTTATGACTTCCAGCATGCTTGGCATAGATAACAAAGTCCAAGATCGTTTTTTAATTTAAATGGCATTTACTGCATTGGATTAAATCAGAAGGTGTTGTGTTTAGCCCATTGAATGCACAGGAAGTTTCAGTCAGTTTAATCGTTCTTCTAAATCATAGCACAGCTTTCATTGAAGCTGAAGCACACTCACAAACTAGGGGTGCACCGATACCATATTTTCAGATCCGATCCGATACCAAAAAATCTGAGAATTGGCCGATACCGATACCAGCAGTTTTTTTTTTTAATCGGTGTAGAATTTTTTTATACCTCAATGTGTGTTGACCTGATCATCACTCTTTTGTGTGTTAAACACAAGCTACTAAATATAGACAACTTTATTATAAAGAAAAATAGCAAATGAAAAAATATATAATCATACTCTATGACAAAAATACTATTATAAACTAGGTTAGTGGATAATTCAGCAGCAAAAGTTACTCATGAGTGCACAATAATTTTATAAATTCTAAACAGTTAGTGAAAAAACATTATTTAGTGGGGAACAAATAAAAGTGGATAAGTATAGGGCTAAATCTGGTAAAATGTTACACATTGCTCTTTGTGTTGTTGTAAAATACATTCATGAAAAACCAGAAAATATGTTCATATATAAATATATACTATAAAATGAAAAGACATTTCTTTTAAATGTATAGCACAGTAATGAGGCAGCAACATATGATAGATAAGACAGAAGAAGAAAGGCTATTAATAATCTTTTCATTGCGCAAAAGTATTATAACATGAAAGGCTCCTATACAGAGTGGCGCGAAGCGCTTATGTGCATCCCGCGAGCAGAATGATGCGCTTGAAGCAACATGGCGTCACAGCACGCAGCATAAAGAAGATCAAAGCACAAAGGGAAGAGATACTGATGCGTAGTGTATTATACCTGTGCGATAGTTTATTGAGCCTTTTCTTTTAACAGTTTTAAAGGGGTCATATGATGCGATTTCAAGTTTTCCTTTCTCTTTGGAGTGTTACAAGCTCTTGGTGCATAAAGAAGATCTGTAAAGTTGCAAAGACTAAAGTCTCAAATCCAAAGAGATATTCTTTATAAAAGTTAAGAGTCAGCCACACCTACCTAAAATGGCTCGTTCTAACACGCCCCCATACATCACTATGAGGGAAGATTTGCATAACGCCGCCCAAATGTGCACGCAAAGAAAGAAGGCGTGGTTTCAGGAACAGCAGTTAGTGTTGATGCAGCCATGTCAGGGAGACGCTGTGTGTTTCAGTGCGAAAGCAAAAGCACTTTATTTG